ACGTGGTCTGCTCCTGGTGCTGCTTTCTTAGTGGTGTGAGGTTCCCCTCCCCACTCTGCTCACTTCCCGTTCCTTTTATCTCTTGTAAGATAAAAGGTGGTGTAGGCCACACCCCAGGGAAACTCCCTTACATTGGATAATGGATGTGACCTGAGCAGGGGTGTTACATCCCACTCTAATCTTCTTCAACATAATCCAATCTTGCCTCATTAAACACAGGCAGAGATTAGGATTTACAACATATAGGAAAATTGCATCAGTCACAAAATGGAGGACAACCACACAATAGTGGGAATCATGGCCTAACCAAGTTGACACATGTTTTTAGGGGACACAATTCAATCCACAGAGGAAATGGGGAACTTAAAAAAAAAAAATGAGCTTGGCCATCTCAAGATTAAATATTTTAGTTTCTATCTAATTCCTAATTGTGTCATGTGTTCTCCTTATCACTAAAGATGTAAAAGTTCCCCTTTTTGAAAAACAGAATGCATAATCAAAAGAGAATTGACCTTCTTCTCCATCTTGAACAAAATTTCATTTGTGACTTTATTAAAGGTCCTTTTATTTCATTTATTAACTCAAATGAATTTCAAGGGACAAATACATTTATGTCTTTCAGAAAAATAGCTAAGCTTTTCTGGAAAATAAATTCACTATAAATAGACTACCATTGCATTTACAGTGTTCCTAGGGAGGGAGAGACTAGTCTAGGATGGAGCACAGTGGCCTCACCTACTGATAGCATGGCCCAATGGAAGCCAACCATTTTGCATCCCACCAATCAGATCAGTCACTCATTCTGTGGGGCTGAATAATCAGAAGTGTTCACTCCAATAGGTCTTCCTCCTCAGGAAACCAGAGAGGAAGGAAATAAAGGTTCCCAAATGGTAGACTGTATAGCTAATACAATTACACAGCTTCAGTCATAATACCCATTGCCATTGAGTGGATTCTGACTCCTAGTGACCCTAAAGGACAGAGTAGAACTGCCCCATAGGGTTTTCAAGGAGTGGCTGGTGGATTCGAACTGCCAAACTTTTGGTTAGCAGCCGTAGGTAGCCCTGGTGGCACAGTGGTTAAGAGCTTGGCTGCTAACCAAAAGGTCAAAGGTTTGAATCCACCAGCCAATCTTTGGAAACTCTGTGAGGCAGTTTTGCTCTGTCCTGTAGGGTCACTGTGAGTCGGAATCAACTCAAAGACAACAAGTTCAGTTTTTTAAATCATAATAATAGCCAACATTTATTGAGTACTTACTGTGGGCTAGGTGCTATTCTAGGAGCCCTGGTGGCTCAATAATTTAGCATTC